CAGCCGTCCATGTATCAGTTTTCGGGTCGTACTTGCCTCTGCCGTCCCCCACAGTATTAGCCTCTATAGTGACAGAACCGGCGACTGCCCCGCCAAGCTCCTCCTTCTTCACCACCTCAGCACTGCCCCCACCCGTGATATTGAGACCAGTCGGTTTCACACCATGAGTTGCCAACTCAACGTGGAAGTGTACCGACTTGGTGGGATCATTGATGTCAAAGACATAAACTGTCATATTCACCGTGAACATCCCCGCAAGGCCTATAGTGCCCGTGGCACAGAAAGGCTCAGTAGCAGGCTTGTGAGCACCAGTACAACCTTTTGGGTAGGAGATCGGCGAACCTGCTGCTTGCCTCAGCTTGATCGAGCTTTCGACGAAAGGTGCAAAGCCACAAACGAATATCAGGAGCATCATTCTCATCATGGAAGTATTGGATACACTCTTGAAATGTCAACCGGAATTGTGTATGCGTCAAACTGCTAATGTGACGCCCCATTTGCACGCATTGCGTGTCACGCAATAACAGAGATGGGAGCTTTGTGATTCTTAGTTAGAGTCAGAAGACTTTCCGAGGGCGGAGGAGGCATAGTGGAGACGGGATGATGCAATAATAGAGGCGGAGCGAGCAAAACGAGCCTAGTATACATTACAGTTCGCGGTTGTTCGTCTGCGCGCGTGTGTGTGTCCTTCCGTCCGTTTGTGCGCGAGCACAAATTCTGCCACAAATAGCGGCGCGTATGAAAAAGTCGACGCAGTGCCCCGATGAAGCTCGAAAATAAGGTTATGGCCATTGAGTAGAGCAAACTCAAAAACACTACCATCAACTCGCTTGAGAACAATCGGTCATCACCGTAAAACTCTAAAACGCCAAGTCGGATATGCAATCTGATTGCTTGGTTCAGGGACAGAGCATCCGCGTTCGAGTGTCTCGCCGCGAGACGCGTGGTCTGGCGGGAAAAAGCGGAGCGAACAACCGAGAATGGTAAGGCCGGTGGCAGTGCCAC